TGGAAGATTGCATTTGGGTACCACTGGAAAAAAACACCTTTTTTACCAAAAGAAGATGGAAATACATTGAATCTCTGGAAAAACCTGAAGCTAAAAATATAAATCTGGTAGGGACCTCCAAAGGCTGACGAGGATCTACTCTTTTTCTCCTTGAACATTCTTCTTTTCCTTCTCTACTGACAAACACCTGCCCTATTATCGGTGTTACTCTGTTGAAGTGCTGGTGAAAGAAGCAAAAAGGATGAGGGTCCAAACTCGCCTTGACATCGAGTTCAAGAGCACTCAGAAATCAGCTTAGGGAAAGGATGGGGGCGAGTCGGGGCAGGGGCTCTGGGAACTCACCATTCCAAGGTGGAGGCTTCCAGTGGGCTGTTTCTTTGGTGGGGTACATGACAGCTCCCCCAAACTGCTCTGCCCATTCCACATCTGGCTGCCATTGCCGAGCACCTCTAGGGAGTTAAAGACAGATCCTAGACACGGGGCCTCAACAGTGGTTGGTTTCAGTGTTCCCGTTCACTCTCTGGTGGGCCCAGGGAAGGGTCCCGTGGATTCCCCAATGCCAAGTCACTGGCACACAGTGTAGCTTTAGCAGAACAAGCTGGAACTCCTGAATTTCCATTCCTACCAACAACTTATTCTTGCAATCACTACACCCATCACCCCTAAGCATGCAAGGCCGGGGATCCCAGCTCCTTCAACTTCTCACCGCATTCGTATTCCACCTGGGGCATTATGAATGCAAGCAACGTGTGTATTCAAGGTCAACCCAAGACGAAGAGGTGTGCCGTGCGGTGCCGGTGCAGGGGCGGGGGGGAGGGGCATGACTCCTAGGGGCTCAGCCCGAGACCTGAGTGTTGTTCTGGGGACCAACGTTGGGGGGGAAGGGGGGACACGTGGGGAAGGTATCTGCGTTTGTGTTCCACCCTGAACTCCAGGAGTGCTTCCTTCTTCTCGTTTAAGGAGACTTCACCAGCTACACGCCACCGATGAGGACATTCGGGAGAAGCAGGGCACAAGGGCAAGGTGACACTATCGCTAACGTTCGGGAGCAGGGTCACCCCCCCCAAGCTGATTTCACCCCTCTTCCCTCCCTCGGCCGGAGCGGACGCCACTGCATGCTGGAGCCCCGGACAGCAGGCGTGGGCGAGGGGTCACAGGCCTGTGTCATTCTTTCCTAGGGGGTCACAAGGCCCGCGGAGGCGCCGGACCCCAGAAATCCTGGCGTCGGGGGCTACGCGTCGAGGGCCGCCGGGAGTCTCACCTGCTGGGCTGCACCGGCAGCCGGCCCCCGGCTCCCGGCCGCAGCGCCTGGGCCGCGACGCCCGGGAGGCTGCGCAGAGCCCTCAGCGCCGCCATCTTGCCCCGCCGCGGACTGCGGGAAGGAGAACGGGCGGAAGTGCCTCCCGCGCGCCCCCTGGCGGCTCCCCGCCTATGGGCACCACGGGGCCGCGCTCTTGGAAGCTGGCGGGGCCGCGGCCGCCGCGAGCCGACAGCGTCCGGGTTCCGCGCCGAGGCTCCGCTCTCGCTCTCGGAGCGGCGGCCGCGGACGGTGCTCGCCCCTCGTGGCGGACTCGCCGAGGCGGGAGTCGGAGCAAGTTGCGGCTCCCGCGGGGCCCGGCGCTCGCTGGCCCGCGCGCTTCCCCGCCCCCTGCCCGAGCCGCGCTCCGGGTGGCGGCGTCGGAGCCCGGCCCTCCCGGGACAGCCAGCCCCAGGCTTTGCCAAAAGATTGGGAGCGGAGGGAGCCAGCTCATTTCCAGATGGCCCAAACGGGCTCGCGAACGGGGGCCCGAGCGCGGCTGGGCGGGTCTGAGAGCGCCCGCCAAACCAAAACGAAAGAGAAGGACGCCAAGGCCACCAGCGTTGGAGCAGGCTGCTGGGTGCAGAGGAGCCACCTCAGCCCAGATGGGGAGAGGAGGCCCCCTCTGGGTGACCCTGATGTCTGCCAGGTTTCCAGAAGCTACAGAAGCGCCCTTAGAGATGTTTCATTCCCTACTTCCGGCCAGGGTCAAGTCCTCTTTTCCCTCCTGTCTTTCTGACCCTGGCCAGTGGCATCGCATGGGAACACCGTGCCTCCAGGAGTCTAATCCCAACTCTGCATGGAAGAGACCACGAGTTTTGCAGCCTTGGAGGCTAGTTCCAGCTCGTTCCCTGTGCCTCCCAGCCCAGCTCCAGCTGGGCCACCCGTTGAGTTTGCACAGGCCTCCCACTCTGAGCCTGGAAAGAGGCCGGTCCCCAGCCCCCCCCCCCCAACAGGGTCCCTGAGACGGCCCACCAGCAGTGCTGCAGGGTGGGGCAGACAGACCAGGAAAGTGGCAGAGACAGGGAATTCTTAGCTGTGAAGAAAGAGGGAAAGCCAGACTTCTAGCCTGGGAGTTGACCTAATGGGAACCGTCCCAAAGGGTGGGGCCACATCCCTGGCTGTGGGAACTGACTGGGACCCGGGGTGGACTGGGCAGCCCCCACAGCCAGGCAGAGGCTCTGCCTCCCTGTCTCCCTCACTCCCCCTACCCTTTCCCTGAGCCTGCTCTCCCTCTGTGGCTGGAACGCAGTGAACGCACAGTGAACGTGATGAGGGGGCAGGGCGATGCTGCTGGTGGGGGGACTGCATTTATTTGCCCTAATCCAGCCTTGGAGAAGTCAGGATAGAGTCTGAGCTGCTTGGCCCTGGAGGCAGCTTGAGCTGGGATACTGGGGTGAGGGCTCCTGGGGGGCCACCTAGGACACTGCATCTTTTGTGCCTTCTCCCTGTGGCCAACACCCCCACACACTGCTGCTGTGACTCTAAGGCCCTTTGTCTTTCACTGCTTAGTCACCCCCTTTGTCCTCATCTCAGATAGGGGGTTGGAAAGGGGCAGTGAGAGTCCTCTGGTGATAGCTCCTCTTGGCCCTGCCCCTCCTGGTCTCCTGTCCTTTGTCTGACTCCCGCAGCCCCAGCCCCCTCCAGAGTTAGGACCAGAGTCAGGGCACATGGCGGGTCAAGAGGTGGTCTGGCCATGGTGGGCAGTTCAGGAAGTGGTGGGCATCGGGGGCAGGTAGTCACGACCTGAGCAGGAAGGGAGGGGGAAAGGAAGCATTGTGGCGGATATGATCTAGGAGACAGGAGGTGACAAGGCAGAGAATGGGTAGAGGAATGGGGGTAGGGGCAGGTGATGTGCCTCTGGGAAAGGAAAAGGACCGCTGACTGCATTCTCTTTCCTGGGGATATCCTGGGGAAAGGAGTGGCCGTGGCATGGAGTGGGCAGAAATTGCCTCTACTTCTGTACCCTTAACTTCTTTATCTCGAGCATCTACCCCCAAGACCTCTCTGCCGAGTTCTTTCCCATCCAGAACCCAACCAAGGGAATCCTTTGGCTTCCTTCTCCTACCACTACCTCTGCCTCCCTCGACACTCTCCCCACCTCAGGCACTGGGTTCCCATTTTTCAGGACTCTGATTTCCCTGAATACACGGGGCAGCCTCCACCTTCTCCGCGTCCCATGGGGAATGAGAAATAAAAAATCACTAGATATTCCAGGAACGACTGTGTTCTCAGGGCAAGGTGGGGCCAAAGGAGGGAGCCAGGTGGGGATTCCCTAGGATGGACTGACTTTCGGTGCAGCTGCGTTCCTAAGAGAACAAGTCTTTCTGTACTGGGGGCTGGCTGACTTGAGGCTGGGGGAGGATTTAGGGCAGTTGGGAGTGGGTAGGAACAGCTCCAAGAGCCTGGGGGAAGCTACTGGGAGCTGGGCCAGGGAAGTGGGGGTCAGGAAGTGGTAGGGGGGGAGCCCTGCAGGGAATGGAGGCGGATTGGCTGTTCTGGGCTTTGGAGGGGGTGGGTAGTGGTAACTCAGGAGCAGGGAGCTTGAAGAAGAGGAGTGTTAAAGGAGGGGAGGTGCTACCCTGGATCCTCCTTCTATAAAAGGAAAAGTCATTAACCCCTCCTGCCTTCGCTCTGCCTGCTCCGTGTACCCATTCTAAGCAGACCCATCCTACCTTTGGGCAGTAAACTCCCTGATCACTGTCTCCTCGCCTGTCCCACATCCCTGCAGCCTTTTCTCTCTCTCAGTGCTTGGTCCCGTCCTGAGCCAAGTCCAGCCACCTCCTTCCTTTGTTCTGCCCTCTTGGTGCTTCCTTACCTGTTCCCCACGGTCTTTCCCTGGCAGTTCGCTCAGCTGCCTCAGCTCTGGCGACTAGCCTCTAGGGGCAGAGGGCAGCTTGAGGAAGCCCTGAGAAAAGGGAGGCCATGCCAGATTAGAGAATGGAAGCGAGAATTCTCCCGGGACCCGGGCCTTTCTGTGCATGTTGACCAGGCCCTTTTCCCTTACTTCCTACCCCTCTTGGGGCTCTGTCCCACCAAAAAGGGAAAGAGACAGCTGAGAGCCGACTGTGGGGTTTGGGGAAAGGCTACGTCATCAGCTGGCCCAGTGCCTGGGATCCATCCGGCTGCTAGAGATTCCCCTCCCCTGGGCAAGTCCCATTTTTTTTTAAAGGAAAACAAAAACTAGGATTTTTGGGAAGCAATGAAACACCCATCTGAGTCCTACCAACAGAGCTCCTGGCTGAATGGCTTATAGCTCAGCCAATCGCAGAAGCTCAGGACGCTTAAAAGAGCCGGCGCGGAGAGAGGCTGGGAAGAGCCCACAGGGAGACCCCCAGACACATAGACACGGGCGAGCGCGAGAGGAGGAGAGAGACAGAGACAAAGGCACAGCAGAAGGAGCCAGAGACAGGGCAGGCACAGAGGCAAAGCCAGACAGTCTGAGGAAGCCCAGAAGGAGAGGCCACAGAAGCTGCAGAAGACAGGGGCAGGGAGAGACAAAGACCCAGGAGAGGAGAGTTTGGAAGAGCCAGGCCACTCGGCGCCTCTCCTGAGCCTGGGGGCCAAGTTTTCGCCATCTCCTCTGAAGGTCCCCAGCCCCTCTGAAAACTCTGCCTCTGAGCCTGGCACAAGTCCGAGCCCCCAGGCTGTAGAGAGGAGCTTTCCAAAGCCAGGGCAGGGAGAACTGGGTGCCCAGACGGCCTCAATCCCTCGCAGCTGCGGCACCAGTGCCATGTCCCGGACAGACTGGCATCCCAGGAGGAGCTTGGCGGGGTGCTGGCTGCGGGGAGTCCATGCCCGCCCACTGCTCCCCACTGTGCCCATCTCTCGGCCAGTGGGACGGCTGCTGCTGCTGCTGCTGCCGCTGGCCTCGCTCCTGCCCTCGGCCCGGCCCGCCAGCCCCCTCCCCCGGGAGGAGGAGATCGTGTTTCCAGAGAAGCTCAATGGCAGCGTCCTGCCGGGTTCAGGCACCCCTGCCAGGCTTCTGTACCGCTTGCCAGCCTTTGGGGAGATGCTGCTTCTAGAGCTGGAGCAGGACCCCGGCGTGCGGGTTGAGGGGCTGACGGTGCAGTACCTGGGCCAAGCACCTGAGCTGCTGGGAGGGGCCGAGCCAGGCACCTACCTCACCGGCACTGTCAACGGAGATCCGGAGTCGGTGGCATCTCTGCACTGGGACGGGGGAGCCCTGTTAGGGGTGCTGCAGTATCGGGGGACCGAACTCCACATCCAGCCCCTGGAGGGAGGCACCCTTAACTCTGCCGGGGGTCCTGGGGCTCACATCCTCCGCCGGAAGAGTCCTGCCAGCAGCCAGGGCCCCATGTGCAACGTCAAGGCTCCTCCCGGGAATCCCAGCCCCAGCCCTCGAAGAGCCAAGGTAGGCAGCCGTGGAGTCTGTGTCCTGCAGCCACTCCCGCCATGTCTGTCCTACTGACCCCTATTCACCCTCTCCCCACCCACTTCCACTGCTGGCCGTGCTGCTTCTTCCCTGTCTTCTGTCTGCCTCTCCTCTCTCCGCTAGCCTCCTCTCTCGGGAAAGCTCTGGATGCTCCCTGCCCCAGCCCTTCTCCTGGCCAGGCTGCTGACACCAGAAGGGCTCCCAGAGGTGGGTCAGAGACTCTCTGCTGGGAAGGGACACCCCTCTGCCCACCCCAGCCCTGCTTGGCCAAGGCACTCTACTGGAACCATCTCCTGCTAGAAAGCTTTCCCAACAGCCCCCTGGGCCCTGACTCTTTTCCGTGCCCCAAATTTGATTTTCGCCCCCCACTGCCGGCTAAAGGACTGAGGTTCGAAGCCCCAGGGACTGGCCTCTGGCTTCTGGCACTGCCTTCCAAATAGTTCTGGCAAACTGCAAAGTAGGGCAAAAGTGGACAGGGAGGAAAGACAGCCCATGTGCCCTCTGCTCAGTCCCCTTCCCACGCTGTGCACTGACTGCAGGGCTGCCTGAAGCTCCATCCTTCCCTCCCTCCCACTGCCCGCCTCCCCCTTCTTCCCTCCCTCCCTCTCTCGCTTTAATCCAGACCAGCCGCTATCCCTCCACACCCGCCACGCCAAGATCTGGCCCGGGCCCTAGCTGCTGACTGAATTGTTCCTCCAACCACACAGGGCAGACACGTTGCAGCCCGGCCCTCTAGTTCCAGGCCTGCGGGCCCCGAGCACTCAGGCCTGGGGGACCCCAGAGCCCCTCCCAGAGGCAGTCCCAGCTGCTTTTCACCTCTGGGGCTCACACGCAGCCCTGCCCTGGGACGTGGCATCCCCCTTACCCTCCCCTCCTTAGAACCAACAGCTGATTTCTTTGAGTTACCACAAAAGCCCTGGAACTTGGGGTGGGGGTGGGGAGGGCCCAACCAAGACCCATCAGGAATCCCCTGGGTATGTGGGGCCCAGCTGGCTCTGCTGAGTTGCAGACCCAGAAAGTAAGGGAGGGGGAGAGGAGCCGCGGGTCTGGGAGGCTCTCTCAGGATGCTCCCCTCCTCTCTCCCCATCTAGCGCTTCGCTTCGCTGAGTAGATTTGTGGAGACGCTGGTCGTGGCGGACGACAAGATGGCAGCGTTTCACGGTGCAGGGCTGAAGCGTTACCTGCTGACAGTCATGGCCGCCGCCGCCAAGGCCTTCAAGCACCCCAGCATCCGCAACCCAGTCAGCTTGGTGGTGACGCGGCTCGTGATTTTGGGGCCGGGCGAGGAAGGGCCTCAGGTGGGACCCAGTGCCGCCCAGACCCTGCGCAGCTTCTGCGCCTGGCAGCGGGGACTCAACACCCCCGAGGACTCGGACCCTGACCACTTTGACACAGCCATCCTGTTCACCCGGCAGGTGAGGCCCCAATCAGCTCCAAGAAGCCCCTTGTGTCCGCTGTGCTGGAAACGGTGCCCCTGGAGGTGTTCCACAGGGCACCTGGCCCCGGCCATGCTGCCCCGTCTGCCATGCGGGTCCCAATGGCGCTGGCTACTTGGGGCCCAGGTCCCCCACGAAGCTAGATCTTGTCCCAGTGGACCCAGGGGGTCCCGGTTCCTCATGCACCTTCTATGCTACCTCCCCACAGGACCTGTGTGGGGTCTCCACCTGCGACACTCTGGGCATGGCTGACGTGGGCACTGTGTGTGACCCGGCTCGGAGCTGTGCTATCGTGGAGGACGACGGGCTCCAGTCGGCCTTCACTGCTGCTCACGAACTGGGTAACGTGGGAGTGGGGCTACGGGGCAACAGGGCGGCCTGGGACAGCTGTCGGGCAGGGGAAGGGGACAGTGAGCTCACTGGAGGGCGGAAGGGGTCACAGAGTGATTCTTCCTCCTGCCCAGGCCTAGCTCCATGGCCATTAACTTTTTCTGCTGTGGGTGTAGATATTTAGATTTTTTTTATTGAATGAGATAGTGTGTGGAAACTTACCGTGAGTGCTGTGTGCGTGCGCACGCGTGTGTCTGGGGAGGGCCCCCTATTGAAAGAGATGTTATTCAGGAGGGTCAGTGACGGAGCGGCTGGGTTCAGGGTTCGGAATGCTGGCTACAAAGGAAAAGAGGGTCGGGAGGTGCCCTGCGTGTTTTTTGGGGGAAGGGGAGACAGAGCTGTGGGGGCTCCATACTGGAGCCCCAGAAGGAGATGGGGGGCAGTGTGGGTGGGGTAGGGAATGGATCTGACCACCCACAGCTGCACCCAGGTTATTCTGGCCTTGAAGCCCCCTGAGGGCACAGAGATGGGACCCTGCAACCCTAGCAAGGCCTCTGCTATCACAGGTCATGTCTTCAACATGCTCCATGACAACTCAAAACCATGTGTCGGTCTGAATGGGCCTGGGAGCACCTCCCGCCACGTCATGGCTCCTGTGATGGCCCATGTGGACCCCGAGGAGCCCTGGTCCCCCTGCAGTGCCCGCTTCATCACTGACTTCCTGGACAACGGCTACGGTAAGCAGAGGGCAGCCCCCCGCCCCGGGCAGCGCCCTGTCCCTGCTCCCTGCACTGTGTTTTCTCTTCTGCCGCATTCTGCATGGGCCGGACTGCCTGCCTCCAGTGGGTTTCCTCTGCAGTGTAGGATGGGGTGAGAAATGCTTCTGTCTTTGTGTGGTTCCCACTTCCTCTAGCATAAATAGTGCAGCCAAGGGAGGCGACTTTTGGTGCTATAGAATGAGATCTGACCTTTTAAGGGTCAGAACCCTTCACATGAGAACAGGCTGGCTGGGAAGGGAGTGATTGCCCGTCACTGGAGGCGTGCAAGCCTGGCAGGGTGGCCACTTCTGGGCAGGGCTGCGGAGACTAAGCCTACTCAAGAGGTCTGTGGTAGGTTAGAAGAGGTCGGAAGACTTAGCGCTTCGGGTTCCCAGCCTGATTCTGTTCCTTGGACAAGTGTAGATGCATGAGTGTGAGCTTCGTGTGGCTGGTCGGTAAAGCCGGCGTGAGACGATCGCCACCTCGGAGCTGCTCTTCGTGGTTAATGAGAAAGGTTCATCATGTAATAAGCACCCAATACATTGCATCAGCTCTTCACAGCCTTTTCCAGCCCAAGGATTTGGATTCTAGGACCCATCAGGCCCCAGGGAGTCCCCACTTTCAGCTAGCAACTAGAATGTTCCCTCAGCCCATTGCTAACTTCCTACCCCATCTCCTCCCCAGGGCACTGTCTCTTAGACAAGCCAGCAGCTCCCCTGCATCTGCCTGTGACTTTCCCTGGCAAGGACTATGACGCCGATCGCCAGTGTCAGCTGACCTTTGGGCCCGACTCACGCCATTGTCCCCAGCTGCCACCGCCCTGTGCTGCTCTCTGGTGTTCCGGCCATCTCAACGGCCATGCCATGTGCCAGACCAAGCATTCACCCTGGGCTGATGGCACTCCCTGCGGGCCGTCGCAGGCCTGCATGGGGGGCCGCTGCCTCCACGTGGACCAGCTGCAGGACTTTAATGTGAGATCCCGGGCCAGGGATGCAGCAGGGGGTCTGAAGGAGTGGGGCTGGCCCTGACCCAAAGAGAGGGTATTGATCCCGCCCCTTCATTCTGTGCTTCTGCAGATCCCCCAGGCTGGTGGCTGGGGCCCCTGGGGGTCATGGGGCGACTGCTCTCGGAGCTGCGGTGGTGGCGTCCAGTTCTCGTCCCGGGACTGCACGCGGCCAGTCCCCCGGAATGGTGGCAAGTACTGCGAGGGTCGCCGCACCCGCTTCCGTTCCTGCAACACCCAGGACTGCCCAACTGGCTCAGGTGAGGAGCGGGAGGGGCAGAAGCCACTGGGGGGGGGATGCTCGTAGAGCAGGACCATGGTCCCTGGAGCGGGGCGGAGTGGGGGGGACAGTCCCTGCTGTTGAGGGGAGTAATTTCACCCTCCGGGAACCTTCTGTGGTCGTCTGCAGTGAAGAGAGGTGCCAGGCTGTGTAGAGCTCTGAGGGGCTTAGGTGGAGGGGCTCACGGGGAAGGTAGTGAGCAAAGAGGACCCTGATCGCCGGTTTCACCCCCTACAGCACTGACCTTCCGTGACGAGCAGTGTGCCGCTTTCAACCACCGCACTGACCTCTTCAAGAGCTTCCCAGGGCCCATGGATTGGGTCCCTCGCTACACGGGGGTAGCCCCCCGGGACCAGTGCAAGCTCACCTGCCAGGCCCGGGCCCTGGGCTACTACTACGTGCTGGAACCACGGGTGAGGACCAGGTGCCCCCGGGCCCCGGCTGTGCTCACTGTCCCGAAGCCCCCTGCTCTCTGATGGCAAAGACCCGTTCCAGGCCCGCCCAGGGTCCACTCACACTTTCCCATCCGCGGATATTTGGAAACCAGGCCCCAGACTCTGGATCGGTTCCCAGTCAGGCAGCTCCAGCCCGTCCCCTTTCCCTTGGGATCTTTTTCTCTCTCTTCCGTCTCCCGGGTCCCATCTCTCTATTGCCTGAGAACGGATGTGGCCTTCTGGGCAAGTCTTTGACCCCCTTTCTGTGGGCTCCTCTGTCACTTACATGGGTGGCCTCGTCCGGCTCATGGGAGGCCAGACGCTCACTGGACAGGCGTCTTGGAGACGGTGGCGTCCCTGCACCCCTTCTCTGGGAGAGGGCGGCTTGTGAAAGCCCAAAGGAAGAACGCGCCCTCGCAGAGGTTTTGGCCCTCCCCCAGGGGAGCATCCTTGCTCGTCGGCCGCCCTCTAGCGGCCGTCTGGGTCGCTACCATCAAGGTTCCGGGCTGGTGCTGAGACTCAGACCTGCCCATTTCCCTCGTGGCCCCTCCGCTTGCCAGCCGGCTCATCTTTGGGAGAGTCTCTTCATCTTTCTAAACCACAGTGTTCTGTGTCTAGAAACCTCCAATAGTGTGTGAGATCTATATTCTAGTTTATAAGGCACTTAGCAAAGTGCCCGATTGTGAGGGAGTCTTCTGGAAATGGTGGCTTTTATAATTAGTATCGTTAGGATTATTCCCCCTTCCCAGGGCTGGGACTCACCCCACACCCCATCTTCGTCCCCTCCCACCCAGCCTTTCTGACGTCCCCTTCCTGGGTGGGATGTGGGTCTGGTCTGGCTCACCAAGCCCTCCTGACTCAGGAAGAACCCTTTGCATCTCTCCTTCTCTTGGCAGGTAGTAGATGGGACTCCCTGTTCCCCGGACAGCTCGTCGGTCTGTGTCCAGGGCCGCTGTATCCATGCAGGCTGTGACCGTGTCATTGGCTCCAAAAAGAAGTTTGACAAGTGCATGGTGTGCGGTGGGGATGGTTCCAGCTGCAGTAAACAGTCTGGCTCCTTCAGAAAATTCAGGTTCATTCACTATTGATTTGCCCCTTCCTGGCCCTTGGGGTACAGAGGTGAACTTGACACCGTCTGTCCTCTCAGCTGACAGTCTAGTGAGGGGGCGGATGTAAGTCGTCCGAGCACAGCGTCCCATGTGTTCCACAGACAGCTTGCGGCTGCAGCGGGCGTCAGGGCGGGCCTCCGGGGGGGGGGGGGACTTGCTCCTGGAGGGAGAGTAGGAACTGGCCCGGCTGGGAAGCAGGGCACGTCAGTCAGGGGTCTAGACAGGAGAGGGAGGAGGGCGCATTGGCAGGGAGCTCAGATCCAGGCCAGACACCTCACGTAGGTTTGGGGAGACACCCCTCTGCACACACAGACTCACACACACAATCGTACAAGCGGCTCAGAAAGGCTGAGGAGATTCGGGAAGATGCTGAGCCCCCGTCTTCTCTTTCCGCTCAGGTACGGATACAACAACGTGGTCACTATCCCCGCGGGGGCCACGCATATCCTGGTCCGGCAGCAGGGGCCCCCTGGGGTCCGCAGTCTCTATCTGGCCCTAAAGCTTCCAGATGGCTCCTACGCCCTCAACGGAGAGTACACGCTGATGCCCTCGGCCACGGACGTGGTCCTGCCCGGGGGGGTCAGCCTCCGCTACAGCGGGGCCACGGCAGCCTCCGAGACGCTGGCCGGCCACGGGCCCCTGGCCCAGCCGCTCACGCTGCAGGTCCTGGTGGCCGGCAACCCCCAGAACGCTCGCCTGCGCTACAGCTTCTTCGTGCCCCGGCCAGCGCCGTCCACACCCCGCCCCCCTCCGCAGGACTGGCTGCACCGCAAGGCTCAGATTCTGGAGATCCTCCGGCGGCGCCCCTGGGCGGGCAGGAAATAACCTCATCCTCCCCGCTGCCCTTGCCGGGCACCGGGGCCTCGGACTGAGTTGGCAGAAAGACGGGGCCTCCCCGGCTGCCTCCCGCGGACACACGGACACGCAGACACGCAGACACGGCGGGGAGGGGCGGAGAGCATGAGGCCCGCGCTCCTCCCCGCCCCAGACTCGCAGGCTGGCCCTGCCCTGATTTCCTGCCCTGGACGGCAGGGACGGGTGGTGAATGGAAGGGGCTGGGAAACCGTCCCCATCTACACTGCCCCCTCTGCCCTGCTGGTCACGGGAGGGAGGGGGAAGCCAGTGGGGAAGGGGGGCGGGGAGCCGTTGTATTTATTTAGTATTTATTCACTTTTATTTAGCACCAGGGAAGGGGATGAGGACTAGGGTCCTGGGAAAAGTGACTTCCACCCCCTCATAACCCGCACCCTGGCTAGGAAATCCAGGGTGGTGGTGATAGGCAAAACTGACCTGTGTGTGTGTGTGTGTGTGTGTGTGTGTGCGTGGGTTCATGTATGAAGTACATCCTGCCCTTGCTTTCCTCTCCCTGAATTCTGTTTTCTGGGAAAGGAAGAGTCAAGGGTATGATAGACCTTCAGGGAGTAAGGGATTATCATATTTTTAAAATATATATTGACTTCTGCTATTTATGTGCTCCTTTCGGACTCGGACAGAGGTGGGTCGCACCCTGGCTCCCCGTCTCTGAACATCAGTTTCCTCGTTTGCCGATAACAATACCTCCCATGGAAATGTGTTGTGAGGCTGAATAACGTCAATAAAGATGTTAATAAAGAACTGCATTACCCCTGGCCCTGGTCAGTGCCCAGTGCAGGGCGGCCGCCCTTGTTAGCGCGGGGCCTATGTTGCTGCCTGTGGGGTTTGCTGTGCCCCGAAGGTGAAAAGCTCTTGCCGGTGGTACCTGCCCTCGCCCCCAGGCCGAATTCCTCTGGTTGGCAGACCGCTGTCCTGGATTCTCAGGGAGGATCGGAGACAGGACGGTCGTGTCCCTGATCACCGGCGACTTCCGGTCAACACAATGTCATAGACCCTTCACTCCAAGCACAGCTGACCAGAACAAGGAAGCACAAAGAAAACAGGACTGGCTCTGTCCAAGCCACCGGACACTTAGTAATGAGAGTTCTCGGGGGGCCCTCGGGCCGTCGTCGTCCTCGGAGGGGGAGCGCTGGACAAGGGAGCCCATGAGTCTGAGTCTGAGCTGGGGCTCAGTGTCTGACCGGCCGTGGTGCTGGGTGAGTCACTGATGCCGAGCTGTAGGGAGCTCGTATGTGTAAGGGGCTACTGACGCCTGTCCCCACCGGCTTGTTCTGGGAACAAATGATACCGTTATTTTCAAAATAGTAAAGGCTGAACCACGTGAGAGGTTACCCTTATGACTACTGAGTGATTGGGACAGGCGCCCGGAATCCACCAGTGTCGACACAGCTCGCTTCTCTGCAGCTGTGAGGTTAGAGTGGGATTTAATACAGAAGAGCAGGAACCAGGTGGGCAGGGGGTCGTCCAGCGGCTCACGAAAATGGCTCAGGGGCGAGTCTCCAGTGGCGGGGAGCTGGGCTTTCACGGGAGGTGGCACACTTGACCGGACGATGGGACATGTGACAGCTCAGCTTTTCCTTCTGAGCAGGCGACGTCAGTTGGCCATCTTGCATGGGTCATGAAGGCCACGGGGTTGGGAAGGGCAGCGGGTGGATCCCGGGAGAACAGCAGTCAGTCGTGGGGCACTGCGGGGATTGGAGAAGGGCCTGGATGGGGAGGTGAGGGAGGAACCGTGGATAAAGAAGACCCTGGGATGGGTGCAAGAGGGAGACTAGGGGAGCTAGAGGCACTGCATGTGGGGGCCGTAGCTCCTCCAGACATTCTTGGGGTGTGGAGCTGGGGCAGGGGCTCGAGGCAGGCCATGGAGGTTGCAGTTGTGTGCACTGTGCTCACTGGGGCTGGGCTTTGCTCCCCCGAGGGCTGTGCCAGGCGGTGCCTCACACTTATCGCCGCCCGCTGGGTGCCTCCTCCCTCAGCTGCAACCACAAGAACAGGGCCAGTCTCTTCTCTCCCTGCTGCTTGGTGCCTGTCTTTCCCTCCTGTCCTCCTACCAGCCAGCCTGGAGGAGGTGTAACCGGGAGTCGGAGCCAAGGTCAGAGTGCTCTTCCTCTGTTTCATCTAGTTAGCAAAGCTGGGCCACCAAGAGCGTGTTTACAGGTCAAAGGACTATGAGCTCACGGGGCAATAAGCCGAGCTCTGTGCCAGGTGCGTGCAAGGTACAGACGCAGACAATGCGGGACTGAAGGAGCTCGCTGCACCGGCGGAGGGTGTGCGCTGCACCCCCGCGAAGAGAAGCAGTGGGATGATGCAAAGAACTGCACGGTGAGGTCCAGATGGACCGTGCGGAGACTGAGCCCAAGCCCAGGCTTAGTGGCCATGAGGGTTAAGGAGGGTGAGTGTCAGCGGGGCCGAGGAATGGGTCACCCCGATGGCCTTCCTGTCTTCCCATCGGGCTCGTGGTAACTCATGCCTCATAAATCACTTTCATGTGTATTATTCTAACCAGAAGCTCTTCACTGAGTAGGGTTCTGACCGGCATCACATTTTTCCCAGAAAGGGACTGAGCTGAGTGACCACGTCTGTGATGGAGTGTGTGTGTGAGAGGAGGAAAGAGAGTTAACTCCCCAAAGAGAAGGGATGGGCATCACAGCCCTCCATGCCAGGCAAGGCCCAACTCCTTTCTGGAATGCTCTCCCCCATAGTACCCTTCCCATAGCCGGACTCTAGACGCTGCCTAATATCCTGAACTCAGAGGTCCAACAAGTTGTTGCTAGGGATGGGGGGACTTCATACCTCCCTGCGAGAGCCACAGTGAATGCTGTCTCCCCAGTCGGCCTACCAGTTGCCTTCTTGGGCCAGTGCTGGGGTGTGTGTGTGTGTGTAATCAGGAGGAGAAGCAGGAACAACAGGAAGGAAGCAGACACGGAGACCATCCAAGTATCTGGTCTTAGAGGGGAAAAGAGGGGACAATGGTGAGCGGAAGAAAGACCAGTCAGGGAGTGCGTGGGGGGCCGTGAGCGGCCTGTTTCTGGGGAAGTTCAAGCAGAGTTTGGACAACCATTCAACGGGATGGTGAGTGTTGTGTGTGTGTTTGGGGTGGGGAGGTTGACAATAACTGTGAGCCGAGCCGATTTCTCTAAGCTCTTTCTGCCCCTCAGATTCTCTGCCTCTGCGGTTAGAGCAGAGGAAATCTGGGCATTTGCTCAACCTCTATTTTTTGTGGTGGGGGTGGGAAAGCCCGGTTTCGGGATGAGCTACTCATGTGCACTCCCACTCCATCCCTAACTCCACTTCCTTAATCTCCATGTAGTTATCACAGTAGTGTGTCTTCTGAAATACCAGATTGACGGCAAGTGACAAATACCAGTGTCTCATTGGTCAGGGCTCAGAGGGAAAGAAGCGGGGAAGAGAGTGAAATTCAATGTATTCATATTTTGTTGGCTAAGAGAATGCTTCTGAACCAACTGAATACTTTCCCCATTGACTGTTGCTAGAAGGAAAGCCAAAATCATTGGCAATAAGACTAAACCAGCTGACAGTTGAGGGAAACCACCAGTTCTAAAAATGCTCGGAGAAAGGCTGGGGGGAACGGGGTGGGGGAACTGGGAGCAACAATACTGAACAATTTCCCCAGAAAGGACCTTATATAGGGACCGGCCCAGAGTACTTAGGTAGCCTTAGGAAGGAAAGGGCGGGGGGAGGAAAAGCATTTAAGTCATCCCTCGCAGTCTTTGGGAAACCAACAGTAGACCTTAGAAACCCAGTAATACACAAGTCCACACACAGTTACACACTTGGACATACACCCATCCAACTTCACGAACATACACCAGCACATTCTCTTGATAAGGTAATAAACGTTAAGAAGTTGAAAATAAAAGAAGAAGAAGAAGAAGAAGAAGAAGAAGAAGAAGAAGAAGAAGAAGAAGAAGAAGAAGAAGAAGAAGTAGAAGAAGAAGAAGAAGCAGCTGAAAATATGATGGGGCACCTGGGTGGCTCACTGGGTTAAGCCTCTGCCCTAAGCCTCAGCTCAGGTCATGGTCTCAGAGTCCTCGGGTCAAGCCCCACATCAGGCTCTCTGCTCAGCGGGGAGCCTGCTTCCCCCTCACTCTCTGCCTGCCTCTCTGCCTACTTGTGATCTCTCTGTCAAGTAAATAAAATCTTTTTTAAAAATGCTGAAAATATGAGAATGTTGGCCTGAAAATGGGTCAGAGGAAAACATGTTAATTAACCTAGTTTCCCAAGGAGAATTGACTGTTTACCGCATTTGTTCAATTATAAAGCCATTGGGTTATACACTGGAATCAAATCCTCCTCTCACAGCGTTGGGAAAGGACATGGATTTTTGGAGTCAGACTTAGTCTAAGCTTTGCTACTCACCCGTGATGATATGATCTTAAGTTACTTGATCTCTGTGAGCCTTGGTGTCTTTATCTGTAAAATGGGTGTTACTACTACCTGCCTTATGGAGAGGTTGTCAGAACTTAAGAATACAGTGGCGTAAATGCTTGGCTCCATGTATGGCTTCTAGGAAGTGTCAGTACGTGCTAATTCTCTTCCCCTCAAATCTCTTCTTTTGTCAGGCCCCCTCCCTTTCCACTCCTGCATTAGCATAAGAAAATAATTCTACCAAGGGAGAGTCTAGGTCCCATCTAAGATGGGCTGTCTTGTCACATTTGTGCTAAAGGTCTTGGTTACGTTCAGGGGATGATAAAAGGGAAGACGTAGTTCCTGTCCTCAAAGTTCAACATCTGGTGGCTGAGACCAAAATGCCAGACCAGTGTGACAGATGCCATGATAGATGAGGGGTGCGTAGCCCAGAATATGGGGTCACAGAAGGATTCTTGGAGGAGGTGTCTGCCTCCCCTTCCAGAAGTGAGTTGTAAGATTGGGGGGCCCCCAAGGAGAGTAGGATGGTGATAGAAGAAGAAAGAGCTTCTGCTTGCTAAGCCAGCCGCAGGGTTCTTCTCTGTTATGCAAAACCCAAGACACAT